CGCAACCAAGGTACATGCCCTTGACCGGAATCAAACCTGGGACCCTTGAGTCCGCAGGCTGATGCTCTATTTACTGAGCCAAACCGGTTAGGGCAGTATATAATTTTTTATACTATATCAATTTTTGCTACTTAAGTTTCCATGACTTCATATAATAAATTTGAGTCCTATTCATATTTTTCTTTGCCTTGGAATAACTAAAGAAATTGAAATTGTGTTACTTAAAGCTTAAATAAGGCTTATTCATGAGCCTGATACCTTTTTAAATGGCAAATCTCTTTATGTTATTGATTTCAATTTTTAAAATATATTTTTATTGGTTTCAGAGAGGAAGGGAGTGGAAGAGAGAGACAGAAACATCAATGATGAGAGAAAATCATTGATTGGCTGCCTCCTGCATGCTCTACGCTGGGGATTGAGCCCGAAACCCAGCATGTGCCCCGACTGGGAGTCAAACTGTGACCTTGTGGTTCATAGGTCAATGTTCAACCACTGAGCCACGACACCTGGGCAATGATAAATCTCTTAAATTCTTTTTAATTTCTTCTGGAGTGACTGGTCAGTTGGACTCTCTACTTCTTTTTGAGTCAATTTTGGTAACTTATATTCTGCTAGGAAATCCCCCATTACCTTTACATTTTCAAATGTGTTCCCATAGAATTGTAGGTAGTATTCTCTAATCATTATTTTAATCTCTTCCAGTATGTGACTATCTCTTTTTCAAAACAAATCTTGTAATTTTTTGCTTTCTCTATTTTCTCTTAAACAGATTTTAGGCACTTTGTTATTAGTCATTCCAGAAAATTCCCTCTCTTTTGGTTTATGTTGTATTCTTTTCCTAATGTATCAATAAATAAATTCCTTTAGCTTTTTAAAAATTGAGATATACCATACCATAAAATTCACATTTTAAAGTGTACACTTCCATGGTTTTTAGTATACACACAAAGTTGAGCAACCATTAAATTCCTTTAGTTTTTATCTCTCTTCTGTAGAAATAAAATAATGCATTTTCCTTTGATGACAGCTTTAATTTTGAAGGTTAGGGTATAGATTTAATTTCGAAGGTTATGGTATAGATTCTATTCATTTTTTTTATTGCTTTATAGTTATTTTGTTATTTGTTCTGATTTGCTTTTTGATCCAAGGATTATTTACTAGAGCATTCCTTATGTTTAACTTATATTTATTTGTGTATCTTTCTACATTTTCCAAATTCTTTTAAATGAGTATGTACTACTTTTATAATTTAGGGGGAAAATGTGTTCATTTAAATCTTTTATTCACCTAAAATTTATTTTTGGGAAAGGAATGCAAAGGAATCTACTCTACTCCCAAATAGTAGGTACTTATTCCAATAGTACTTATTAAACGGTCTCTATGTTCCCATGATTTCATTACATTTGTTATAAACTGAATTTCCTCATCTGTTTGGGTTTATTTCTGGACTCCATTCTGTTCCACTAATGTCTCTATATTTCCTTTCCAGCATCAATAGAAAATCTTGGTAACTTTAAAAGGTGTTTTAATATCTACTAGTGTTAGTCTCCTCTCATTTCTTTTTTCACAATTTCCTTGGTTATTTTCATGTTTCATTTTTCAGAAGGACTTTAGTACCTTTTATTATGTTCTGAAGGAAAATCTTACTGGAAATATAATTGGAATTGAATGATATCTATGTATTAATTTAAAGAATTAACATTTATACAATACTGAGTGATCCTAATTAAGAAGAAATATCTTTTCATTTGGCTAGGTAATTTTATGTCCCTCTGCAGAATATGAAATATTTCTTCATACAGGTCCTACCTAGTTCTTCTCAATTTTAAACCTAGGCACTTTATTTTGTTTTGTTTTTTTATTGTAAATTAAAATAGTTTTCAGTTATATATTCCAAATATTTATAATTTTATATAGTAAAGCTATTAATTTTTGTATATTAGTTTTTCCTCATTGAATTTTCTCATTGTTTCTAAGAGCTTTTCAGTTAATTCTCTTTGGGTTTCTAGATAAACAATCATATCATTAGCGAATAATGATAATATTGCCTTCTTTCCAGTACTTCATGTATTCTTTCTTTCTCTTACCTAATTGCACTGGCTAATAAATGAATGTAGTGACACTGGGAATTTTGGGCTATTTCTAATGTTGCACCATTTAGACATAGTAAAATTACATGAGTGATGCATGCTCACTTTGCCAATTTAGTACATAGCCTTCAAAAGGCACTTTATTATTTTCTTTTCAATGCCTGGCGCATAGCTGATGTTCAGTAAATGTTGACTTTCAGTGAATGCTATGTTAGTACTTACATTTATACACACAGATACATAAACAGTAAAATGCTGCTAAATAGAAAGGAAGGGCACTAATAAACATTGAATGAGCAGGAACTGTATGTGCAAGGCACTGGCTTAAGCATCTCGTGAACAGTTCTTTTAGCTGGGACATCCTGCTCCCAGCTGATTTTGACAGCGCGCCATCATGGAGAGAACTCTGCGGTGGGCATGTGAGGACCTGGGTTCTAATCCTACCTCTGTCACTAATGTGACGGCTCTGAGAGGTTCTCACTAAGCAGCTTCCACTGGCCCAGAAGGAGAGACAATTTGGGCGAAGAGGAGGCAGTCTTAGGACTCGTTTGGGGAAAGACCTGGGTCGCCTCTCGCCCTCCATCACCCCCCCATCCCCCCCTACAAT